GAGGTCTAACTTAATTTTTTGCATGTGGGTATCCAATCATTCAACACCATTTATTGAAAAAACTATTCTTTTTCCATTAAATTGTGTTGGAACTTTTGTTGAAAATCACTCTGGGTTTATATCTGGACTTCTAATTCCCCTCCATTGATGTATATCTGTCTATATAAGTACTACACAGTCTCTATTATTGTAGCCTGGTAGCATGCTTTGACATCAGAACATGTGAGATCTCCAACTTTGCTTTGCTTTACAAGATTGTTTTGGTTCTTCTGTGACTTTTTCATTTCCATATGAATTTTAAGATTATCTTGTCAATTTCTACAAAGAAAAAAAAACCCTAGATTTTGACAGAGATTGTGTTAAATCTGTAGGTAAATTTGGAGAATGTTGCATTCTTAAACATCTTCAGTTTTTCAATCCATAAATAGGAGATGTCTTTTCACTGGTTAAGTCTTCTTTTATGTCTTTCAGTGATGTTTTATAGTTTTCAGGGTCAAAGTTTTTTTTGAGGCAGAATCTCACTGTGTCACCTTTGGTACAGTGCCGTGGCATCGCAGCTCATAGCAATCTCAAACTCTTGGGCTTAAGGGATTCTCTTGCCTCAGGCTCCAAGTAGCTGGGACTACAGGCATCCACCACAATGCCAGGTTATTTTTCTGTTGTAATTGTCATTGTTGTTTAGCTAGCCCGGGCTGGGTTTGAACCTGCCAGCTGAGTGTATGTGGCCGGTGCCCTAACCACTGGGCCAAAGTTTTTTATCTTTTTGTGTGACTTATTCTTATGTGCTTTATTATTTTTGATGATGTTATAATTGAAATTGTTTTCTTAATTTCATTTTTGGATTGTTTATTGCTAGTATGTAGAAATAAAATTTTTATATATTAATTTTTCATCTTAAAACCTTCCTGAATTGGTTTAGGAGTTTTAATAGTGTCTGGAATTTTTAGGATTTTCTATATAGAAGATCATATTATCTGCAAGTAAAGTGTGATTATATTTTTAGGGAGGCTGCAAGAATAGCCCTTAAAGAGAACTTTCTGATTGTTTCAAGAATGTCATTTGTACAAGTCTAAACTAAAGAAGTATGCTTTAATCATGCTGACAGTTTCTAAGGCCAAGAAACAGATTTACAGGATATTCTGCTTTCTCAATAATCTTATTTATGTGGAATGTTTTCTCTGATGATCCACGAGAGAAAATTTTGAGTACTGAGTTGAAGTTAACAGGAAATAAAGATAGACTAGTTGTACATATACAAAGTAAATAGAGTATTACCACACACATCTCATTTGATTAGAACAAGGTTCTGGCAGGATATTGTTGCTGTATGAGATTTTTGATTACTTATACTTAGAAAACCTTCCTTACACAGAAAAGAAATGCTATGGGTAGACTATAAGAACCCACACCCTGAAACTTCCCTGTTCTTTAAATCACAAATAACTGCTCTGATGAATTGTCTACATTACTGTCCAAATATAGTAGATAAAAATATTTGTGAGAGTTACTCTGTAGAACACATCTTACCATGTGTCTATAAATGCTATAAAAATGCATCTGTAGAAGCCAATATCCCCTTTGTGCTAAGGGTTACAGGACAGCCTGGTAGCAGGGAAGAATATAAATTTGGAATCCACCATACAGGAAAAATGACAACAATTGTGTTTGAATCCTGGCTTTACTACTTACTTATCTCTTTAAGTCTCATTTCTTTATCTATAAAATTGACAGGCTGATACAATAAGAGTTCTACAGAGTAATATTAGGAAGACTTACTATCTAGATAGAATTTTGTGGATGGAGATAAGACATACCTCTTAGATATCTTCTAGTCTAAGAAAGCAATTGATAAGGATTAGGTCCTTATAGTCAATAAAGGCAAACAAATTCTTAGGGTAGCCCTACTGTCCACTAACAGGCTTAAGTCACAGTAGTCCCTTGTTTATAGATAGAAATATTTCTGAGTCATTACATATGCAGAATTTCCCAATTTTGTATTGGACCTTGAATAATTTGGTGTCATACAGTTGCATTAGTAGAAGTCATTCACAAATCCTAGTTCATAGATAGGTTACTCTTTTCTAGTTATCATCCATTGGAGTACCATGCCACTCTCATTCCACTCTAATTCTACTAAGTTTATATGCTTTCATTGATGTTGGTCTCCCACATGGATGGGAATAGGCCCAGACCTGGCCAAAACGTGTATCTCATAAGTCTAGTCAGAATAATTAGCTCAGTCATATCCATGTGACCCAACACAGCCCAATGAAAACCTACTCTGGAACTTTCCAAAAGCTATTGGGAGTTACACTATTGTTTTATCTGGAATTGGGAGCTGTAAGAGTGATATGGATTTGAGGCTATTGGTCACTATCTTATTGCCACACAGAGAAAGCCTCCTGGTAAAGAAAGCAAGTAGAAATAAACAGAGCTGTAGCCAAAAGTTGGAAAAAGAAATAGCCCTTAATATATCATTTGAACTGGATCTAATTGTGCATATAAACACCCCCCCACACACACACACATACCTGCTCTTTTATTCATCTAGCTTGTATTTGGTTTTTGTCTCTCAGAATTGAAAATGTCCTGACTAAAAAAAAAAAAAAAAAGAAAGAAAATGTCCTGACTAACACATGAGGTCTTTTCAATACTATACAAGTTTAGCATTCCTTCCATTACCCTATGCTGAGTCTAGCAAAGAAAAACAGAAAGTTACAAAGAAATGATGTAAAAGAAGAGAAAAAGAAAGGACTAAAGAGAAAGCAGTTCAAAGGAATGAAATATAGAAAGCAAAATAGTTAGCTCTCCATGCTAGTGAGGAGCAGAGACAGTGGTACTAGTCAGTTGGTCTCAAGTGGCATTCATGTCCCTTATTCATAGGTTTTACCATGGAAATCATCTGGGCTTAAGTAATTATTTATAAAACCAAAGGTATTACCCACAGAACATTTAGCTGGGATTCTTAAAATTGAATGTAAAGTTTTTAAACTTCATGTATTGTGATTCTAATTACATCGAAGAGCCTAAAAGAGCACCGATGGTAGAGTGATGGCAGATTGACTATGGTGATGTCAAATGCTAAAGCACAAAATTGGAATAATAGGTCTATTTTTCTCCTCTTGACTACCCCATTAATAGAGTTACTATCCACTCTACCACATAAAGACACATAAGTTTGAGCTATATTCTGATATAGATAAAGGAGGATATGTGTTAATTTAAGAAACTGAGGGCTGTGTGTCAAAAGGAAGGTGAGACTGGTAAGAGATGGAAGTTTGGGAAATACATGTCATTGAAAACTAACCCAAATGGCATCCTTGGCATAGGAATAAGAAAGAAGGTTTCAGGACAGGTTGGGGTACACACAGAATCATGGGTGTATATTATGTAGCCCACTTCTGCACTGACTAACTTAGGGGTCAACAGATGACAGTCTTTGAATCACACTAGCCCACTCCATTTTGCCTGCTTTTATAGGGCCCAAAAGCTAAAAAGGTTTTTACATTTTTTAAATGGTTGGGAAAGTCCAGTAAGAGTAACAGTTTGCCATATAGAAAATTACATAAAATCCAAATTTCAGTGCCCATAAATAAAGTTTAATTGGAACACAGCCATGATCTTTTGTTTAAGTATTGTTGTCAGTGACTTGCTCTACAAGCGCAGAGTTGAGTAGTTTCAGCAGAGACTATGTGGTTAAAAGTCTGAAGTATTTACCATTTGGCATTTCATAGAAAAAAGTTTGCCAACCCCTTAGTTAGGGCAAAGGGAACAGAAAGCCAAGGGGACATAGGAGATAGTAATGTGGTATGGAGTCAAATTGTCCTCTCATTATGTTGGTTTATCCTGAGCAAGTTACTTAATGTATTTTAGATTCAACTCCCTCTTTAGTAAAATGAGGGTGATATTACCTGCTCAACAGGAGTTTCATAAGGATCAATCTCAACAAAGGATAATCTCAACAAAGCATTTAGCATATGGTAAGTAAGTATTAGGTGGACAGGGTATTGTATATCTGGTAGGGCATCTGTATCTCTGGGTCTCTTCTCATCTCCCCTTTGAATTGAGTTAATTTCTTCCTTTGCTCAAATGTATAAAGTCCATGGACATGCTTTTATGAACCACATTTAAGGTACAAAAAATAAGATTTTGTTTTGGTGGGCAGCAAAGGATAAACTTTGTTGCTTCTCATTTGTGAATTTCCCTTTCAGTGCATCTCTCTTTCTGGTTGACCATTTATGTGTATAAGAATAAGATGTGTATTCATTCTGATAATGAAGCAGGATATCAAGGTGCCAAATAGTGCCCTTGAATCCCAGTCAAATGAGTACCTAACAGATAGAAATATTATAGGTTTTTTTTTAAATGTTTGAAACAGTGTATTTATTGGTGGTTTTAGGAAAGAGCATATTTATTGTTAATTGTTACTACGTTGATCTTGGTTTCCACTATGAGCTCAAGGACTGGATAGCCAGGTCATTGGTTGAGTTTCAGAGTTCTTTTGTTTGTTTGTTTGTTTCGTATTTTTTACACTCAGAAGGCAGCTCTGTTCCACATTTATGTTTATTAAAAATAGACATAAACATTGCTTCTTGGCCTTTTGGCTAAGATTAAGAGTAAAAATTGACATAAACAAACAAAACTTGTACAAAAAAAATTCCCAAATCACTTATTACTTTGAAACAGTAATTCTGGCAGGCATTATCGCCTAGGACCCCCTCTTCCTCTGCCACGGCCTCTTCCTCTACCTCGACCTCGGCCTCTTCCTGCAACAGCTTCCCTTTTCTTAGATTTCACTTTAGGTTCAACATCCACAAATAGTGTATCCAGAGGTAAACTGTCTGGTGGAATAAAATATCGAATGTTATTTCCTCGAATACTCAGTGTTTCTAGCTGTACAGGTTCTCTGTTCTTCAGGGTCATTTTCACAGCTTTAAGATGTGTATTCATGCTGACATCTACACCTGTGATTATTCCATGGACCTGTGTTCCATTCTTCAATTCAATAGTTACAGTTTCGTGATTCAATTTCATCAAAAATCTCACAAGCTTCATCCTGGCGGTGCTGTCACCTTTCGGGTCAGACAGCAAACAGAATCCAACAACCTTAGACTAACTGACTCAAAATATGAATGGCCAGAAATGCCTACTGCAGGGGCTCAGGATGTACCGAATTTCAGAGTTCTTATAGAACGTGTGAGGTGTTCTTTGGGGACCCAAAGACCTGAGCTACTCTCTGTGTCTATATGACCATGTTTGTCTCCGGTGAGATAATTCATTTCTAATTTTTATCTTCTTTACTGGAAATCTCTGATTGTACGTACTTCGGTGACAGAGACTGCAAGTACATGAGCACATTGCAAACGAGAGTATAAAAGAATGTAAATGAGTTGTCTTAAGTGTCACAACCAGCAATGAAACTGGAAATAAATCTCAGGAGTTTCTATTGCCAGATATGATTCTCTTTCAGTTTTCAGACCCAATGAAAATTTAATAGTTGAGAAAACATAATTTTATCTTTTCATTATATAGAGAGGATGCCTCCAAAGATAGGCAGTCAGAAGGCAGTCAAAAAGTTAGAAGGAAATAGAATAAAAGCATTTACCCTTCAAAGATAACACTTGTCTAGGAAATGAAGAAGGAAGCTGGTATTCTAAAAAAGATAAATCACAACTCATCACTGAATGGTTATTGCTTATCAGTTCAAAGTTCCATTTTAATTCCCCCTACTTTAGTGTCTGATTGTTATGTATCTGAAGTTAGAAATGAATGGAAGATAATCACATTTTACCCACTGTAAAGTGCTAGTCACCTAAGGTAACTGGGTAAAGTGATTGGAGGACATGGAAAATAGAGTATAAAAAGATAATATTTTCCCACCCAATGAATCATTCTTCAGGTTAACACTGGCATGGAAAGACCAGTGTACCCATACTAGGCCATCTCACCATGAGTTCTAGGAGGCATAGATTGTCGCTTGTAGAAGTCAAAGTCAAATATATTAAGGACTCTCTTCTATTTGCATAGGAAGAGAAGAAGCAAGTGTCTAAGAGTGATTCCCTTCATCTAGCTTGATAGCCATGTTAGATGTCAAAGCCAGGCCAAAGCATATGTGAATTGGCTCTTTAAAAATTTAGATCCAGGCACTAAGATGACTTAAATTGTTGAAGCTTTTTAATTTTCCTTTTAACTCAGTGTTTTTTTCCATTCTGCACAGATAACTCCTTAAAGCAGGGGTCCTCAAACTTTTAAACAGGGGGCCGGTTCACTGTCCCTCAGACTGTCGGAGGGCTGGACTGTGGGCCCCGGGATGAGTCAGCTGCTAAGCAGGACAGGCAGTGGTGGGAAAAACACCTGAAGGACCGGATGAATGTCCTAGGCGGCAGCATGTGGCCTGTGGGCAGTAGTTTGAGGACACCTGCAAAGGTGCTCAAAGATACATTTAATGTCAATAGCCATTTGAGTGTGACCATTGATATGTTAGTTATATCATGCAGTTCTTTAAAAACTAAATAATAAACAAAAGTGCTATGTTACATCAACTTCTCTAAATTTTTAAATCAATTTCAGGCTGTTTACCAGCAAATGTTACTTGCCAAACTGATCATTAGTTTTCCCAAATGTACCCCCTGCATAATGAGTAAATGACTTGTTGGTATTTCGTAGGATATGTCTATATTTCATACCATTTTTGGTACAAATCACAAGTTTTACAGAGTGTGAATTATCACAATTTGAAGATTTATTGACTACTGTTACCATGTTAGTTTTTATCTTCTAAAATTTACCAAATTACTGTTTAATTTAAAGTAAACATAGTTAATGAAATTAGGTATTAAATTAAAACAAAATAAAAGATGAACCAGTGGGAATATTTTTATGTTATAATCTTTGGTACTCATTCTGACAGTAGCGTACCATTCATAACAAGTTTATGTGTTTGCCATATGAATGGGAGAACGTGGAGAAAGAGTAATCTAGAAACTATATTTAATACTTTATAGATATCTATTTAAACATGGTAAGGGAGGTATATTACTTTTCAGAACAAAGCAAACCCTAGTAATTTTTTTCTTTTTCAGAGACAGTCTCACTCTCCGGCCCTCAGTAGAGTGCTATGGCAGCACAGCTCACACAACCTCCAGCTCTTGGGCTTAGGCGATTCTTTTGCCTTAGGCCCCCGAGTAGCTGGGACTACAGACACCCGCCACAATGTCTGGCTCTCTTTTTTTTTTTTTTTGTTACAGTTTGGCCGGGGTTGGGTTTGAACCCGCCACTCTTGCTTATGGGGCCAGCACCCTACTCACTGAGTCACAGGGGCCACCTAGCCATTATAATTTTTTTTCTTTTTTGAGACAGAGCCTCAAGCTGTCACCCTGGGTAGAGTGCTATGGCATCACAGCTTACAGCAACCTCCAACTCCTGGGCTCAAGTGATTCTCCTGCTTCCGCCTCCCGAGTAGCTGGAATTACATGTACCCACCACAACCCCTGGCTATATTTTTTTGGTTGCAGCCGTCATTGTTGTTTGGCGGGCCCCGGGCTGGATTTGAACCTGCCAGCTCAGTTGTATGTGGCTGGCCCCTTAGCCGTTTGAGCCACAGGCGCCAAGCCAAGCCCTGATAATTTTTGACAATAGATCATGATGGGTCAAAAGGGAAAAGCAGTTGTGTTTGTGTATTAAGATGAAGTTTGGGTGATTTCACTTTAAGGCATGATATGAGCAGTAAAATGAAGCCACACAATTACATATGAACAATTTAACAAAAAGACAACTAAAGCGCTTACTTAGAAAGTATATGAGGACTGATGAACTGAAATGTTGTTTTGTTTTATTTTTTTCCTGGAAATATTACTATTACTTTTCTCAGTAGTAAAGGAAGTGCTCCTGACAATATTATAGTGTTTGTAGTTTGGCTGAAAATTCAAGAAGGTGTGGATAACTTATTCATCCAGTCTTTTTTTGTTTGTTTGTTTGTTTAAACTCAATTTCACTCTGTTGCCCAGGCTAGGGTGCCATATCATCAGCCTATGTCAGTAGCTTCAAACTCCTGAGATCCAGTGATCCTCCTGCGTCAGCCTCCCAAGTAGCTGGGACTGCATGCACCCACAACACCTAATTAGTTTTTCTATTTTTAGTAGAAATAGGGTCTCACTCTTGGTCAGGCTGATCTTGAACTCCTGAGCTTAAGAGACTTTCCTGCCTTCGTCTCCCAGAATGCTAGGATTATAGGCAGGAGCCACTACATTTGGCCATCCATTATTGATACATAAAAGTCACATATATTTTTTTTGTTTACAATGGTCCACTGTTTACAGATCTTCTGTTTTGTGCTTATTACTTGCTTTAGTTTAAAAAAGTGGAAAGAAGAGCTTACATGTTTGATCACTTATTAAATGCCAGCCACCTAACCTAATTAATTAAATTTGATTTTCAAACCACCCTTTAAAAGATAAGCATTGTCATCATCCTCATTTTGCTGATAAAGAAACCGAATCAACGAGGTGATGTGTCCTGCTGTCAAATAGTAAATGACACAGGCAGATTTTTGGATATAGGCATGATTGTCTACAATGTCTATGATCTATTTCATCACATTTCCTTCATCTTTTTGTCTACTGAGGTTTTGCTACATTTATAATATAGTAGTAGGTATGCAAATGCTTTATAACTCACATAATACCTTTCCTTATAAAGAAAAGATTCGTTCTTGTAACTTGTTTATATTTGTGCTTTCTCAGATTTACTATGATATTTGTAATTGTGCTTTCATGCACTTTAATTTGCTTTATATTTACTCAATCTGAGCTTTTTAGGACATTTGTTAGGACAATATCTGAATTGACAACAATCATGTCAACTAGTCAATTAAAAGTCTTATTTTCTTCATAAGTAAAAGAGGGTCCTTATTTTACTCATTGATGAGAAAATAAATTCAGTGTGCACTGAAGTGCTTTGTGAATCATCTTACATACTTATGACACCATTGACATTTCGTTATCAAAAGAATTTAATAACAGCAAACATTTAAATTATCAAGGAAAATTGCTGGCAAATATGTTAAAATATCCTATGTAAAATGTCTCTGGTGCATTTTAACACTGCAATGGTTTATTAGTTCAGGCTTCTATAACAAAATACCATAAACTGGATGGCTTATAAACAACAGAAATTTATTTCTCACAGTTCAGGAGTCTGGAAAGTCCAAGATCAAGACACTGGCAAATTTGGTGTCCATTGATGGTCCACTTTCTAGTTTATAGAAATTGTCTTTTCTCCCTGCATTCTCACACAACAGAAGGAGAAAAGGGAGTTTTCTGAGGTTTTTATTTACTTTTGAGATAGGGTATCACTCTGTTGCCTGAGGTAGACTGCATTTGAGCTGTCATAGTTCACTGTGACCTTGAACTCCTGGGCTCAAGTGATACTTCTACTTCAGCCTCCCATGTAGCTGAGTATATATGTGCATACCACCATGTCTGGCTAATTTTTAAAGTTTTTGTAGAGACAGGTCTCAAACTCTTGACCTCAAGCTATCCTCCTGCCTCAGCCTCCCAAAACATTGGAATTATGGGCATGAACCACTGTACCTGGCATGGGGTCTCTTTTATATGAAAATTAATCCTACCTAATCACCACCCAAAAGCCTCTCCCCCTAATATCATCACATTGGTGATTAAGTTTTTTTTTTTTTCCTTTGGCTGGTGCTGGGTTTGAACCCACCACCTCCAGCATATGAGGCTGGTGCCCTACCGTTTTGAGCCACAGGTGCCGCCTTGGTGAGTAGGTTTTAACATATAAATTCTGGAAGGACACAGACCTTCAGATCATAACAAAAGAGTCTTACTGGTGCAGTGGTTCTCAAGCTTCCTAATACTGCGACCATTTAATACAGTTCCTCATGTTGTGGTGACCCCCAACCATAAAATTATTGTAATTTAAATATTGTAATTTACAATATTTAAATTATTGTAATGTAAATATCTGATACACAGGATGGTCTTAGGCGACCCCTATGAAAGGGTTGTTAGACCCCCAAAGGGGTCGTGACCCAC